TATTGAAGACCTTTCTCATTACGCTAAATCCACGGCAAATATTTTCTATAAAATATTATATTGTCATAAACATACGAAGTGTTCTCACCTCCTCGTGTTCAAATATTTATGCAATTACTTTATTATCGTTAACTTATCTCAATCTTAATGCAGCCATATTAACATTTAGGTAATTTCCTTACATTATTGCAGTCAGTGTGTTATAGTTTCAGTCCTAACACACCACCTTGTCTTGGTCATTCAGTTTAAAATACTTTACAATGGGAGATGAAAATATTTTGCCATATCCTTACGAATTTTATGATTTAAGCGATGAAGAAAAGAGTCTTAACGATAAACTTCACAATTGTGAGTACTTATTATAATTGTATTAATTTACGTAGGTAATGTGTTGAGAAGTAATTTGCACAGTGGAGCTATGGTTTTTCTATTAGGTTTATATTTTGTCATTAAGATGTACCTCTATTTTCCACTTTCTACAATTTATCATCCATCTTATAAATACATAATGTGCTTCACATCAAGCTACCTTGTGCGTAGTGCTAAGTAATGGAATTCTTTGCCAGAGTCTGTATTTCTTGAAGGGTACACCACTAGGGTGAATAGGTTTCTTACGGGACGACGCGTCGTGCTCCATCGTAGACCGCATAATCGCTTACCACTAGTCGGCTAGTCGGCTAGTCGGCCTATAAAATATAAAACAAAATTATATTTTTTGTGTTTTGAATTTGTATTTGACAACGTATGGAGGGTATAGGTACCTTATATCTAATTCCCCGTATAAGGCACAGAACATATAGAGAAGATATTATAAGGTATACAGTTATATACTATGCATAACATTTCTGTATTGATAACATTATCAATCTTCATTTCTTATAGATCCATATGAATTAGCTCGTCTTGGCCCCAAAGGCTATATAGTCACCAAAGCTTTCAAAAAGGATGCTGCTAACATCTATAACCTGCCTTTAAGGTCCAGCGACATATTTGTCACAACTTATCAGCGATCAGGTATGGTCTACCTTTAATAGATACATTTTTACAAAAACCTATATTGGTAAAATGATTTCTATGATGGATGATACATTCTAATTGATTTATTTATTTAACGTACATACATATGACGTTGTGATCGTGGGAATACCCATACGAAATGGATTAGTTAATTTTGTATATCAATTATCAACAGATAATACCGTACTAATTAAAAACAGAACATGTAATCTATTTTGAGCTTATATCGCGTATCATTAAGTATTTTTCTGATACAGGTTGTCATTGTTCCATTTTCCTAGAATTACACTCTTCACACCATCATTCCATCAGATCCCATGGTTAATCTTTGAAACATGACGTCATACATAATATGTTACAGGAACAACATGGACTCAAGAATTGGTGTGGCTTCTGGCAAGTGACCTAAATTATGAGAAAGCTTTAACTGTTCCACTCATCGAAAGATATTCATTTCTGGAGTTGGTATCATTTTTACAAAATATTCATTTTTCTCTCAAGGAAATACAAAAATATGAACATTGCCATGTAAAGAAGACGAAATGATGAACTTTACATATATGTGTTACATTATGGGATTGGGATAGAAAGATTAAAAATTGTATGCAGCAGATTGAGTTTTTAACTATATACATAATTATTCAGTTCAGTAATTAAGTATTTTTGCCTGGAATGTTTTACGGGAGTGTTGAAAGTTAGCAATTTTGTAAATTTTGCATAATTGCATTACCTGCGATGCACTTTAGCACCCCCATGTATCCGCCTGAATGATCAAACAACTAACGAACATTTTATTCGTTTCAGAATGTTCATGTTTATGCCTGACGCAGGATTAGAAAGTTTCATGAAGGTTGTGAGTCAGAATAATGAAAATTTTAATAAGGAAACGACGATGCAAATGGTTGAATGGCTCCGTACTCCGGTAACGCGCAACCTAGCCTCTAGGCCGTCACCTCGCTTTATAAAGTCCCACCTTCCTATGTCCCTACTGCCTCCGAAAGTTTTAGATACAGCAAAAATGGTGTACGTCGCACGAGATCCCAGAGACGTGGCTGTATCATTCTATCATCACACCAGACTTTTCATGCATACTGGTTTTAAAGAAACCTTTAAGCAGTTTTGGCACCTATTCTGTGAGAGTTTATGTGAGTTTAGAATGAAATATTATTTCCTAAATAAACTTGAAATAAGTGACTTACTGTCAAACACCGAGGAGACCGGTGACCGCTTGGTGTTTGACAGTTTAAGAGAAGCATGGTATCTTTAAATCTTTAATGGAAAGAACAGACCACCTTACAAGGTAGACATGGTTATTCAGGTGCTTTATCTTACCTGGACAAATGAATAATTGTAGAAATATAAGGAAGGTTTTTGTTAGCACTGATATAATATATTATCTATGAATCTATTTAATTTTCAGTGGTGTTGACACCATTCTTCGAACACATCAAAGAAGCTTGGGAGAAGAGACATGACCCAAACATGCTCTTCCTGTTCTATGAAGATTTGTTAAAGGTATTAAGTTGTAAATGTTATCACAAAGTCAACAAATAACAAATAGTTTCCCTAAATTCCAAGTTGATATTTGTTTTACTGTGTAAGTTGTCGAAAGCAGTTCATGAATGGTTTTTTCGTCGTGTCCTTAGGACTTACCTGCAGCAGTTAAACGCGTGGCGGACTTCTTGGGTAAGAAGTTGGATGACGCCCAAACGGCAGCTCTCTGTGACCACTTGAGTATAGAGAACTTTAAGAAAAACAAAGCTGTCAACTTTGAGGAACTCAGAGGACTCGGAATGTTCGCAAAAGACGAAGTATTTATTAGAAAAGGTATTAAAATAGCTAGTTTACATAACTTGATTAATTATTATCTATTAAATTGAAGAGACATTAATTAAAGAAAATGCACAATATTGGCATATAGGCACACAAAGACCACATCAAAGGAATGCTATAAATTATTGAATGTAAGTGGAATAAATTAATATGAGTTATTCAGATATTTATTTCACGATTACCAGGTAAAGCTGGAGGCTGGCGAGACTATTTCGACGAGGAGATGACACAACAAGCTGAGAATTGGATCGAGGACAACCTGAAGAACACAGACCTGCGCTTCCCTACTGTCAAATAAATATTAAATTGTATAATACGGTTACTATACTGGTTATAATGAATTAAAACATGTAAAGGAATTTATATTTGAAGATTAAATTATTAAAATGTAGGACTTGCTTTTCCCTTTTCCCGAGCGTACCTACGTGACTCCTCTCGCCCGGGTGTGGCGAGAGGGAGTGTCAGACTCTTACTGACTAAAACAACTCTGTTCCTATTCCTGCCCTTCGAGCCGGAGCCTCGGCAACCCGTTAAATCCTCTGCGGTTCCGTATCGGCATCGGTCGTATTGGGCCCCATCTGTGGTGGCTCCTTGAGGCGTGCACGGAACTCCTAGTCCCCCTCGCTCCGTACCATAATCTGAACTAGAGCTGGACGTGAGATATCGCCGTCACCGATCGCATCACTGAGAACACGGCGGTGCTCAGACCACGCAGGGTACCCTACACCCCACCACCGTATGCTCCACCGTATCCTCCGGGCGGTCCTCGCAGTGAACAGGAACCTACTGAAACTTCCGTGCCCGGTAAGCACCTACGTCAGGCGCTAGGTGTGGACGCCGTAGCGTCTCTCAAGGCACTCCACAAAGAGAGGACTTATCGCTGCAATGACGGCGAGCCTAGCCCTCGGTTTCGACAGTCGCTGCTGCCATTCGGCCATGCGAAAGCGCACACATCACACAGCACACATCCCGCCACGCACTGATCTGGCGCGGCAACGGAGTTTCGGCCCGGCGACGTGCAGCACCGTCGCCTTCAGATCCCACGGCGGTAATCCGGCAACATAATGTTACACCTAGTAGTTACTTTAATATTATGCATAATAATGCTTATACTGAAGGTTTTCAAAATATACGGATGTTTCACGTCATTAAGAGATAAGATAACATGCAAAACAACAAAAATGGGGAAAATGTATCAATAAATAATATGCAAAATGCAATAATATTGCTACATCGGATGACGCACCTTTTTTGACGAATGATTTTGCAAGTAGACTGACCTACTAGCAAAGTCATCGCTAAAAAAGGTGTGTCTCGGTAGTAACTAAATAATGAATATACAATTAAAACAAAATAACAGCATTACTGGCGAATTCAAAAGTTGACCTGGTGGTCGCTTGGACTACTGTCAGTCTATTTCCTGAATTTATACCAAGTACATAGTTAATTTAAAACGAATAGGTAAATCGTAAAATATTCTTCACCTTAACGACTACATTAATTTTTATTATTCCATGGATGGACATGTAAACCAAAATAAAACACTGTTTAATATTATTTCCACAAAGTCTTTATTAGTTTTTTTTTCATTTCTCGATCTATGACTTTATTGTACACTTTTTTTGCATTCTCAACATTTATTATATTATCCTGTTTGTCTCCATTTAAAAGTTCATGTTTTGACCGTTTCTTTACTTCAGTACTTTTTCTAATGTTGATACTTTACATGTATTTTTTAATTTTTAGAGCTCTCTCTTCATTATAATCCCTTCCTTTCTTCCTTAGCATACTCCTAATATCTTTGTTAAATGTTCAGCCTACACAAATTTACTTTTTCTTCTTCTTATTGGCAACCGAGTCTCCAATACAGTGTTGTCAACTATACTGCCAGTTGGTGTCGAGTGATGACGGCAGGTTATTTCTTTTTCTTGCTACTACCACAAAAAAAAATTCTTGCTACATCAACGACTAATATTTGTTCTTGCATACATCCACAACAAATTAAAAAAAATGTCTCTATAATACAACAAACATACCTCGGATTTCAACATTTATATGTATCTTTAATCACATGATTATCTTTAACTTATCATTTACTTAAATGAAAACAGCAATATTTATATGTAATTTCTTTTTGTTATGCAGTGTCCTTGCTTCAGTTTAAGTTCTCACACGTATCTTCAAACTTGTCTCTGAATCGGTTGTTTTGATTACCTAAAGTTTTATTTATTATTTTTACAATGGGAGACGAAAATAATTTGCCGTATCCTTTCGAATTTCGTGATATTAGTGACGAGGAAAAGTCGGTTATAGACAAACTCCATAGTTGTAAGTATTTATTTTATACTATTTACATAATGTATGGAAGATGTCAATAAAAAGGAAAATACAACGGTCACCGAATCTCCCCCATAAGTAGTTTTAAATTTTAAATAATACCTAAAGAAATGTTAAAACCAACTGCGTAATGTTTATGTTTGTAAACATAAGGTATCGATGACTAGATCGTGCTTTTATCTCTAATAAAGTGGTATTCATTGGCATTAAAAAATGTTAATTTTAGTAAATAAGTTTGAACATATAAATTTAATTGATTTTTCTTACCATATGAGAACCTATGATAGATGCTAGTTAGGTTAATGCAGAAACGGTCGCCATAGTCGGCTATGGCGACCGTTTGAAACGGCATGGAGAGACTGTATTTCAAATAACTAGATAGACTGGACATTAAATTGATTCCTGTGCATATTTAACTTTATCATTATTATTCCTTACAGTTCCATATGCATCAGAATTAACTCGCCTCGGCCCCAAGGGTTATATAGTCACCAAAGCTTTCAAAAAGGATGCTGCTAACATCTACAATCTGCCTTTAAAATCCAGCGATATATTTGTCACCAGTTATCAGCGCTCAGGTATGGCGTGATCAACAAATCTTAGAACATTTTTTTGATGACGGGGGAAACCTTCAAAAATTATTTAGATTTTTAGAGAGAAAGATTGGGAAACCCACAAAAGGGATTTTTACCTAACTAAACCCCCATCGTGGCTACCTCCACTGGGTCCCCTAGTGGACAGGATTGGATTAACAATGGCATCCAAGTTTCAGTTACCACTTACAGTACATAAAGTTGGTTTTATCTCTAAAGAGGGAAACTAAGCCTATCCTTAGTATAGACCTACTACGCTTGCTAATTCTTAAAATAAAATTTGATGTCATGATTTGTATATTGCAGGAACTACATGGACTCAAGAACTGGTATGGCTTCTGGCAAGTGACTTGGATTATGAAAAAGCTTTAGCTGTTCCACTCGTCGATAGATATTCATTTCTGGAGTAAGTACAAGTATTATAGTTACTTTGACAGTCTTTTCTTTACAGTAATATGAACGAAACATTGTCAACAAGTAGAGAAGGCGGATCTAAATCTAAGGAACTCCGATTACAAATATTAAAGCAGATAAAATTTTTCAGCACACAATACATAATTAATTGAACATTGAACTTGTTTCAGAATGTTTATGTTTGTACCAGACGCAGGATTAGACAGTTTCATGAACACTGTGAGTCAGAATACTGAAAATTTTAATAAGGAAACGATGCTACAAATCGTTAATTGGCTCGGTACTCCGGCATCGCGCAAACTTGCCATTACGCCGTCACCTCGCTTTATAAAGTCCCACCTTCCCATGTCCCTACTGCCTCCAAAAGTTTTAGATACAGCAAAAATGGTGTACGTCGCACGAGATCCCAGAGACGTGGCTGTATCATTCTATCATCACACCAGGCTTTTCATGTTGACTGGTTTTAAAGGGACTTTTAAGGAGTTTTGGCAACTATTCTATGGGAATTTATGTAAGTTTAGATTAAATATTGCTTATTACTTATACAAAAAAAAATGTAGATATACCTAGATAAGTGTAGTATGATCCGAATGGGCAAGAAGGAACAGAACACACAAAAGTGTAAATGAATAAATACGCATACACTATGTAACTTAATCGTAGAAATACGAGAAAGACTTTTTTCAACAGTGATAATATCTGTATCTCTCTAATTTCCAGTGGCGTTAACACCATACTTCGAGCACGTCAAAGAAGCTTGGGAGAAGAGACACGACCCGAACATGCTCTTCCTGTTCTATGAAGATTTGTCAAAGGTATTAAGTTGCAAACGGTTTCACAAGCTTTGGAACTCCATTAAAGAAATCGAACAACAAATAATAATCTTTCTAAAAACCAATTTGATACTTTACTACGTGGTCGAATATTTCTTTTATTATTTCCTTAGGACCTACCTGCTGCAATTCATCGTGTGGCTGACTTCTTGGGTAAGAAGTTGGATGACGCCCAAACAGCAGCTCTCTGTGACCACTTGAGTATAGAGAACTTTAAGAAAAATAAAGCTGTCAACTTTGAGGAGTTCAGAGCACTCGGAATGCTCGCAAAGGACGAAGCATTTGTTAGAAAAGGTATTAAACAGCTAAGTTATATTGGTTTTAATTTCGAATAACTATTTGTTATGGTATTGTTTAAGAGAATGGAAAAAGTTAAAAGAGTGCACTGTAGAATTATGATAACTCTTATCTATTAACTAGCTGATTCCGCGCGGTTTCACTCGCTCTGCTCGGCGCCTATTAATCGTAGCGTGATGTTTTATAGCCTATAGCCTTCCTCGATAAATGGGTTATTCAACACAGAAATAATTTTTCAAATCAGACCAGTAGTTTCGGAGATTAGCGCGTTCAAACAAACAAACAAACAATCTCTTCAGCTTTATAATATTAGTATAGATAATAATAATAATAGTAATTTAATGATTTCATTTCTCGATTTCCAGGTAAAACTGGAGGTTGGCGTGACTACTTCGATGAGGAGATGACACAACAAGCTGAGAAATGGATTGCAGAGAACCTGAAGGATACCGATCTGCGCTTTCCATCCACGAATTAAATGTTTTAATGTAATAAATATTAACTGACCTACATAAATTATCTACACAAGCTTTTGTGACCTCAATGGCGGAAAACCCTAATAGAGCCACTTCTCCTGGAAAAGGCTGTACTGTCAGACTGACAAAATTCACAATGATTATTAAATCAATTATATTTCAAGTGTATACATTTGTGTGTGAATGAAGTGGAATCTTGTAACTTCAGTTTGAAGCAGATACCTTCCATCTATTGAACTGAAATTTTGTATACACGTTTAATTTACATGATCATAAATGATAAGTTTCATAAAGAGGTTATTTTTTTATAGTTCTTAATTAAATATTTAATCAGAATAGTTCCTCGTTGCCCGCGTGGTTGCAACTGCTACTTTCGGGCAAGAAGACTCGGGTTCGATTCCCGAGACATACAAAGAATTACTGGGTTTAAAAAAAACAGTAGTAACATTAAAGGGTGCCCGGTATATAATATATGGCAATAGCTCACCCCAAAGGTCCGTGGTCTGTGTATGTATAGTATATGTGAATGTATATTTATGTTAGCCATTTTTTTACAAACTTTGATTATATTATTGAATCTTAACAAACGCGTTTATACGTTATATGTATGTTATTTATTCACGATATGTATAAGGTAGGCAAAACCTTTTTGCTTATATGGACTGCACGCCACTGGCTCACCCTCTAATACATGAGACTCGTAACATAAATAGTGAAAAGTGGATGTTACATTGTACAGTGACATTAAGTGTCGTAATGTGCACCTCTACCTACTCCTTCAGGGATAAAAAGTGGTGATGTTATGTTAATGTATGTTTATCAGAAAAATGGAGCCTTTAAGGCAAAGCAAATATCCTAGCGCCTGACAGAAAACAGTTGCCACAGCCGGTATGTAACAGTTTTTAACACTGCATGTTCCTTAACGGTAGGAGCTTGTACGATATAGACAGCGTTTTTGTTATGTAATTGAAGGCAAACGAGCAGTCGGATCACCTGATGGTAAGCGATCAGCGCCGCCCATGGACACCCCCAACACCAGAGGAGTCACAGGTGCGTTGCCGTAAAAACCATATGACGTTTACATTAATAAGAAACTATTAACAACTTAATATAAACAAAAAATTAATAAACAACCATATAGAATCCTATCTTATCATATTTTTTCAATGGAAATGTACATGACGTGACAATATCTAAGTAAGATTATAACAATCTGATCCTAAGCTGTGCTGTAAATATTTATTTATATCTACATATTATCATTGATTACAACTCCACTCTCTGTACCCTTAATGTATGAAATGTAACTATATGAATGGTCTACACACGATGTAATAACAATATTACATTATCTTTAATCTTATTCTAAACCTAAGTAGGTAATCTTATCATTATATTATCTTATCATAGAAATCCATAACCCCCTGTTACAATATTTTCTAATAGAATGATAGAGAAGTAAATCAAATTAAGTAAGGTCAAAACCTGACTACCTCATTGGGCAAGTGCGCAAGTGCGTCCGACCAGGACCAGACCAGAGCGTACGGGGCGTCGCGCTTCAAGGAGCCATCAGAGCATCACAGATGGGACCCAATAGGGCCGATGCCGATACGGAACCGCAGATGACTTAACGGGTTGCCGAGGCTCCGGCACGAAGGGCAGGAGTAGGAACGGAGTTGTTTTTAGTCAGTAAGAGTCTGTCACTCCCTCTCGCCTCACCCGAGATAAGTCACACGTGCGCTCGGGAAAAGGGAAAATCAAGTCCTACATTTTAATAATTTAATCTTTAAAAATCTACCTTGTTGGCCGAGTGGTCGCAAGTGCAACTGCCGGGCAAGGGATCTCGGGTTCCATTCCCGGGTCGGGCAAGTACTACTGGTTTTTTTTTAATCTCAGTAGTCTGGAATTCTGCTCGGTATATGGCAATAGGCTCACCCCCTATAACATGGGACTCATAACATAAAACTTGGAAAATGGGTGTCACATTCACATTTAACAGTGGTATTAATTGTCGTAATGTGCACCTCTGCCTACCCCTTCGGGGATAAAAGGCGTGATGTTATATGTTGTATGTAAAGGTAAAAGTTAATTTTGCCTACTCATCCTGACTTTGCGTCGCGTGTTTTTGTAAAATCATGATTATTATGCACATTTTGTTTTGGTATAATAACGTCTAATTTTGATTAACCCATATAGACCTACTGTACCACATGTGGTACAGTAAGTTTATAAAAATATTTTGGCCTATCCACAAATTAATATTTTATTCTTTTAATTGTAACAATTAGTTCAGAGTGTTAGCTTTCCATTTACAATAATACAACAGTATTTTTATGCAAATTTCGTTGAAAATTTTATCGAAGACACCCAGCTAGGACTACAGGAAATATATACAATGACTTCGAAAAGGTAAGTTCCATATTATTTATTGTAAATAATATTATTTTTCGTTACTATTTTGCAGAGTAGGTCTAAAGAAATATTATACATGTAAACAATTTTCGGTAAGGTTAGTTTAGTAAGATATATTTGGTCGTAAAGAAGGTGTACCGCATATGGTACAGTAGGTTTATGTAACATCAACATCTTCTTGTACCTACTATCTAGTATACTAATAGATAACTATAATATCTAAACCTGATTTTATTTTATTTTTATTTCAGACCACTGACACTGCACGAAATTGCAATAGTTCTTGAAGAAGATGATGATATGAATAATCAGGGAAGAGATATTTTTTTACTACCAGCACTATACTGACAGTATCCCTGCCCATGAGGATCGAACTGATGAAGACTCGTGTGGAAGATAACATCGATATAAATAATTTGCCTGTTGAGACACATAGAAGAAAAAAAGGAAAGAGGCTTCTACGATTATCGCGTCTCGGATGATGTAATAATTTGTAGGTGGTACGATAATAGCATGGTTTCAGGGTGTTCCAATGCAGTTTGTATAAATCCTGTACACAAAACTGAATGCTATTCGCAGGAACAAAAAAATAAAATATCTGTACCTTATCCCGGAATGTTTTAATATGTATCACACAAAAAAATAAATAAATTAGCTAATTGGAAAATCTTGTATATTTGTATGCATATAGTCCTACTGTACCCGATATGGTACACCCCCCCTACGTCTCCCCAGTAATTGTATATTTTTTTAAATATTTTTTTATTGTTGTTTGTACCCCTCTTAATGAATATAAGTTAAAATAACTAAAATTATTCACGAAAATAATTATCGGTCTAAATGGGTTAAACATGGATTTAACTGATGTTTAACCGACTACAAAAACCAGTTCTCAGTTTGACCTTCATTTATTTATTTATGTATATATGTACGTATATGTTTATTATTATTATTTATTTATTTAATAGTTACAGGTACATAATATGCCTTACAATCTGGGCCTGCGTACGGCGAGCATGGGTGGCTCCTCATCCGACCAGAAACAGACCCGAGCGTACGGCGCTTCGCGTTCCGCGCGCGCCTCAAAGAGCCATCAGACCACCACAGATGGGGCCCAATAGGGCCGATGCCTATTCGGAGTCACGGAAAACCTAACGGGTTACAGGGGCTCCGGCTCGACGTGCAGGAGACGGAACGGGGTGGTTTTTAGTCAGTAAGAGTTTGCCACTCCCTCCCGCCTGAACCAGGCGGTCATTCGATGATTTTCCCCCCTTAAAAAAAAATGCCTTACAATATATCTATCTATGTGTATGTATGTACGTTTGTGGGCGATCATCTCGCAAATGGCCGAAGTGATTTTGATGCGGTTATCAGAAAAGTGTTTGTTACACTCAGGAGAAGGTTTTAGTATATTTATTTATTAACCGATTTAAAAAAGAGGGGTTTGAGGTCGGTTTTCTTAAATATAGTTTATAAAAGAATTATTTATTTTTAAGCACATGCATAATTTTACCTTAAAACCTTAGCCTTAGTCTTAGCCAAAAAATTATGTGCAATTTAATACAAATAATATTACGTAGAATAAGATACACCTTATATTTCCCAAAAGAATACCTACCTGCTATAGACATTCTTTTGGGAAATAAATATTAAACTGTCAAACACCAAGCAGTCACCGGTGACCGCAACCTATTGTTCTATAATTGTGTCTACAAAACCGGTACTCGACGAGTTAAATCCTCTTAAGAATATCAATAATACATCCAACTTTTTTGGTAAACTCCGAAGGTAGAGAGACAGGGGGGGTCAGATGTGTGTACAATAGAACACCTACTTTTCACTAGTTAGGTAATGATTAATTTAAAGATTAAAGCTGCAATGACACTTTGCCCTATAGATAGTCAAATTACGCAATTAAGTCACTTATTTTCCTCATGATACACTCACCTCATTGTGTTCACTTAACTAATAACTACAGATAATCGTATTAAAAAATATGATAAGTTATACGTTGCTTCGATATCATTATTTGCGAGTAATATCACAGACAGATCGTCGATAGTCACAATAGTCAGCTAGTACGTAGCCGACATAGTTGTTTGGTTGTCAACGCAATCAGTGTCTATCAACAATGGGCGAACAAAAAGATTTGCCGTTTCCCTACGAGACCAAGGAACTTGACCCCGAGGAAGAAGAACTGATCAACGTTAATTTGGGAAGTAAGTTGTTTAAAGTTCTTATATATGTTATTTGTTTACATTCATTTGATAATAATTTATTAAGGAAAATAAAATAACAGCGCAGTTTTGCATTGAAAAAATAAATAACGCTATGCCGTCGGACGAGTTTTTTCTCTAACTATAGGTATGTATTTAAAATAGTCGAGTTTACATCATGTTTCGATTTTTACTGTATATCTAACTGATTTCAATTAAAAATCTGTGGTTTGACGTAGATTTTTTAACCTTGATTCTATTTAATTTCTGTCAAAAATTTAGATCGATGTTTTGGATAAAGATCACACATAGGATACATTATTATCATGAAGAAACGCTGGTAAATCCGCTAGCAGAAACAATGTAATGAACAATCAATCAATCTCCCGACGTTTATTTCTTCCTACACTATCTATGAGTGCATGTGCATTGCATAAAACCGGTTTATTGTTGTTTTGTGTTCTTCACACTTCATAACTAACATATAATAAAATCGTAGGAAAGTCAAAACTGTACATGTAATATTTTTTAAAAGAATGCTCGGGGCGTGATTGCACTCAATACCGAAGCCAAAAATATGTTTTTTAGAATTTTTATCTGTATGTATGTCCAGGATGAACGCAAAAAGTGCTGCATGGATTTACCTACTTCAAATTTCGTATGAATATTACTAACAATTCAGATCAAAATATAGGTTACATATTAATGATTGTTGGTTGGTTTGAGTTCAACGTGATAATTCACGCCATTACCTACGGGGGAGGAGCTGTGAACCACTATTCCACGCCGCCAAAGTCGCGGGCACAGCCAGTTACAAATAAGAGCATACAATGTTGAATCTAGATTAGAACAATTAATTTTATATTTTAATAAACAAGAAGTGTAATCGCCAGTATTATTATTATCACAACAGTGTTGCTACC